CTCCTTCTCGTCATATACATGAACATCCTCCACCTCCATGACCCATCCCCAGGGATAACTCTATCCTACGTCGATGATTTCGTAATAGCAGTGGGCTCTCCAAGCCACCAACAAAACATCCAGATCTTCGAAGAACACTTCAGGGCTATCACAACCATCGCGGCCGCCCAGAACACCACCTTCTCAATCCCCAAAACTGAACTCATGTACTGGGGAACCCCTAAAGACAAGTCGTCAATCTGCACACTCCCCATCACCCTCGATAACCAGATCTTCCACCCAGGCCATGAAGTCAGATGGGTCGGCTTCTGGCTATCCCCAAACTTCAACCCAAATACACAGTTCATCCGCCGCCTAGCCTCCGCCCAAGCCAGCTTCGGAATTCTTCAGAGATTCCCCCCTCCCAGCAAAGGCCCCTCCTCATCCAACTGTAGAAAAATCACCCTACTGGCCATCTACCCAATGCTCACATACTGTGCATCTGTCCTAACCCCCACTAGCTCTCTCAAGGCTATGAACAAATTTTGGAATTCAGTACTCAGATAGGCTACTGGCTGCTTCAGGGCAAGCAACCAACGTGTCCTATGTCTTGAAATAGGGCGCTCTGCATGTTTCATAGTATTGGAGGATTCTCATCATTTCATTATTGTATTTGTCATCGGCGTATGACTCACTCATGACTCACTCTCCCATTAGTAATTCTATTACTCATACGTCTATGACTCATTGTATTTCTTTTGTACTACCTTTCATTGGTATAAATACGGGGCATTCCCCCTTAGCTAGAACAATAACACGATCAATTACTTTCCTTCTCCTAAACACTTACTCTACTATGGGCCGAAGCTCACTGCCCACACCTCATCAACTATATCCACTACGTGAAAACAAAGTTCGCTATCCGCGTCCTACTCACCCACCCTCTCAACAACCCATTGACAGGGCGCTGCCACACATATTTCCCTACCCTGACCCCCGACAAGGTCCCCTCTCACACACGTCTCCTACGCGACCGCCTTAATTCACCAAAGAAGTGGAACTCGACAGCAACGAAGGGAGTAGCGTACCTCCCTATCGAACACCTCTGCTCTCTCCTCTACCACCCAGTTACAAGAGGAATGGACTAGAAACTCATTCCAAAACAAGCAAAAGAACAAATGATAGATAATTGGGCACACAACTTTCCAATTCCCCCCTACTACTCCTTCCCCCTCACAACAAGCCCTAAACCCTTCATGGACTTACACAAATTCACTGTTACTCGAATTCACTAAATGAGAGCCCAAAAAAGCTACCTTAGAGGCCACAAATCATGGCTCAACCTCCACATCTCCGACACACGTGACAGATGCGGCGAAGGCCCTGAAATCACCGAACACGTCATGCTATCATGCCGAGCAAAAGCAGCCCAGTGCTCCCAACTTCTCCCAGGAATCAACACCATCGAAGAGATTTGGAGCAACCACACCAACACACTAGTTCTAGAAGCCTTCATCAATGCCACCAAAACGAACTTCCCTAGAAAGGAACATTTCTCCCCGCTCCTATCTGGATCTGATACATCAAGCTCCCTCAGCTCCCCTCCCTCCTCCACCTAACCATCACAAAGCTGCCACAACTATAACATGGAACTCCATACCCACAAAACCTTTAAAGGGCAACAGGTTATTTAAAACCAGCAGGAAAGATTTCTTATGATGGATAGGGACCACCAAAGATTGCTGCTTTCCTTGCCATCAGACAGTCAGTTTGTTAGCGCAGTAACTCTTTCTTTATCTTTCCTTTGTCCCTCTAGAGTGGTAATATATGTTTTCTAGCAGGGGATAGGTATTTTTATGCCATAGTCTATCACTGCATGCAGAGTTTTGTACCTAGAATCAATTAAAACTACATGATTTAAAAAAAAAAAAAAAAAAATAAATCATCGTATGGAGCGGCGTAGCAACGGGTTTCGGCACCTCCCGCCCCATCATGACTACCACCCAGCAACCACAATCGACCCTTGGGAGAGATGATTTTTTGTATAGTTGTTAAATAGTAGCTAAATAAAATAATTGGACATTTAATATTTTGTATACCAACCCCTTACCTTTATAACAGCTCTATTCTCCTAAGCATACTCTCAACTAGCTCCCAAATCTCTAGAGAATAAATCATCATGTAACAGTTCCCAGCAATGGATTAGATCTTCCTCCACGAGGGGCATCAATACTTAAGGTTATCTAGTATCATATCCCAAATGGGGGTAGTGTTGATGGTAAAGCTTCTTGAGATATACTCAAACATGTTCAATGCGATTTAAGTCAGGGGAATTGGCAAGCTAGCCCTCCAGAACATCCACCCCACACTCCTCCAACCGCTGAGTTGTAAGGGTTGTGGTGTATACTTTTACAAACTTAATAGTTGTAGGAGTATGGGGTACACTGTCTCTGGGCACCATCGGTGGTTGTGGAAAGAATTTGTGGTCAGGCATTGCAGTCAGGTGTTGCGGCGTTGCGACCTCATACCTTCCGATGATTTATGGCATCCCGCTGTACATATACCAATCAATGCCTCTTTTTCGGATAGTATCTCTGGTTTTTAAATTAGGATCTTTAGTATTTCTCGGTAGCAGGCGTATTTCTAAAAGTGCTTTGAGATTAAATAAGGCTGACGCTTTTTCTTTAACATTCTCGGATGGTGTTCTGTAGACATGACATGGTAAATCAAGACTTAATAAACTCGGAGTTACTTTAACGTCAGAACGAGTATTTGTGTAAGCCTGTAAACATGCCTATTTGAGCCTATAAAAAGCACTAATCGAGATTAAGACTTAGCCGTTTATTCAGGCCCTTACAAGCCTATCATTTTTTTAAGCTTTATTAATAGTAAGGCTTATGATATCTGAGAAGGCTTAATTTGAAATTATACATCGATGGCCGTCCGCCTTCCCCGCCTTCCCCGCCTTCTCCGCCTTCTCCGCCTTCCCCGCCTTCCCCCCTCCGTGCCTACCTGCCCACCTACCTACCTACCTACCTACCTACCTACCTACCTACCTACCTACCTACCTGTCTGCCTATGCCTGCATATGCCTACCTACGCCTACCTGCATATCTCCACGCCTACCCGCCTCCCCGTCTACCTGTCTACCTGCCTGCCCATTAACTTCAATTGGTTGAATTTGATGCTTTATTCCGTGCTGTACTAGTATTTGATGCTGTATTTGGCGATGGATTCGCTCCTGCTGCTGGATTCGCTGCTACTGCTGGATTCGCTGCCGCTGCTGGTCTCGCTGCTGCTGCTGGATTCGCTGCTGCTAGATTAATTGCTGTTCAATTCGTTGATTAGCGCCCAGTTTGATGATAACGGTGATGGTGATTGTGGGGGGAGAAAGGGGGGGGGGGGGTAGATGGTACGGAGGTGGTGGAGGTGGTGGAGGTGGTGAAGGTGGTGGAGATGGTAGTGGTGGTAGTGGTGGTAGAGGTGATGGAGATGAACCGGCACAGATGGCTTGATATTTGCTAAGTCCCTAACCCTAACCCACGAAACCTTAACTTTGCGCCCCCCAGGTGCCACTAGGTCTTATGAATTTGCATAATTCTTAGTGAATCGGTAATATTAATTTTGCAAATAGTATTATATAGGTCTTATTCGTAGATAATCCCGACTGACGGTCACACTTATCCCCAAAACAGGCCCAATTTGGGCTTATTTGAGACATAAGGTCAAAATACGACTTTCCGCCTGCCTCTCAGACTTATAGAAATACCCGTTCTGACGTTAAAGTAGGAAGTTCTTCAATAAATAATTCTAAATCAATACCAAGTACTTATCATCTCGAATCGACGCAGTACTCCTCTTGGGTGTCTAGCACGGTAATTGCTGGTTTCGAAGTATGATTCATTTGTAAAGATGACGTCCTGCCAATCCTGCTAACGATACTTTGACAAAACTAGATCCTCGTTTCTTGTGCTTATCATTCCTTAAAGGCTTTTCGGGGGTTTCTCCCTACATACTCCATCCGCCTTTATAATTGTGTTGACACACACAGTTAACCCCGCCTCTGCCAGTTCTCCAAATGGTTTCCGCCAGTATGTAGGATCTTTCAGAGCTAGATTAATCAACCTTTTTCGCGCTTCAGCTGACAGGGGTCTTTTTTCTGGATTTGGATTTGGTCTGATATTCTCAAGGGCACACAGATCAGGGTTCCCCGTCACTTTGGCTCTGAGTTTCGCTTTACTGATAATGCACGAGCATGTACCGGGTGTTGAGGGTAAGTGATCAGAATCTGATAAGTGAATGTTACGGTGAATAGGTGTATTTGTCTTATCAGATTCTGATCACTTTTCGCTACACCCTAGTACTGAGACAAAATAACCCCCGAATCAGTTCGAAGACCATGACTAACAATAAAAATCATACTTTAGTAAACTCGGCAATTTCTCTTCAGGATATTCCTTTATTAGAGCTATTTGGCCAACCACTCCCGAATCTAAATGTTTAGTTCTTGGCGACAGTTTTTAGTGTGAAAATCCCGCCAAGGACCAAAAACAGGGATTAGCCAAATCGCTCTATTGTCAGTTAATAGGGAATACCCTACAGTTTAGCCATGTTTAGAAAGGCTAGCTGTCTTCTGTGATAGACCACGTTGTTTTTGATGAAAAATATCATTGTTGATGAACGGGCCTGAGAATAGAGAGGCGAGCTTCCGCGCTCTCATTGGCTCACTGCACAAACACACACGGGCTGCATGCCGGTCAACCTGCGTTTCATGCAGACCCGGCTGTGTTGGAAAACATAATGAAATGGTGAGTACTTGACAGAGTTGGTTTTATTTTTATATGTTGTGGTGGGTTGTTATTAAGCACTGAATTGAAGTGGGACAAGTCCGGCACTCCGTGCGGGCGTCCCCACCATACCAAGTGGCATTCCGGCTAGTTTAAAACGAGCAATTGTCCACCACGAGGACCGCCTGAACCAAGCCCCATACAGATCATTCTTCCTAAGCTCTCTCAATCACTATGACAGCAGAACAACATTCCAGACTTCGTGCCAGGATTGCGAAGTGCGCCGTCCAGGCTCAAGTAGAGACATCCTGCGCTAAGCTTCGCCTGCAAAATGATCACGCCCCAAACGCTATCCCCTTGACCTTTGAACTGCCTAGGGAGGATGACTATCTAGACCCAAAAAAACATTGTGCTCCTGGGTTCGAGTTTGAAAATATTGACGGATTACCTCTCAGCTACTATGATCTCCATGTCGAGGAACGGGTTCATTTCAATATTGGAGTTGTTGGAGGTGGAATGGCGGGCCTGTATACCTCCTTAATACTTCAAGACCTTGGACTTGGGCACGAGGTCATTGAGGCATCCCAAAGAGCGGGTGGACGGGTATGGTCACATCATTTCAGTGAAAAAGATGGTGACTATTATGAAGTTGGCGCCATGATATATCCCGACATCCCAATTATGGCAAGGACAGCGAGATTACTCGAGTATCTCGATATAAAAAAGGATACCACTGAACATCCTCAACAGGGATCCTTGATTCCTTTCCATTTCGCAGGACCAAACAATCCTAAGTTCTTCAACAACATTTTTGTTACGGAAAACAACCAGCTAAGCGCAACACCGGAGGAAGGCAGGAATGTGGATGCCTTCCAGATAAGTACCCAAAACGGTGGAATGGTGCCTATAAGGTTAGTGTATTTGACTGCTCCCTCACCTAGGAACATAAGCACTAATCTTATTTTGATAGTTTCATGAAGAGGGGCCTTGAGGATATCATGAGGGATGTTTTTGATAGTTGGAAGCAGCGACTCATTACAAACTTTAATGAAACCTGGGCGGAGCTTATAGCGATTGACAAGACGGCAATGTCTCTACGAGCATACATGATAACAAAGTACCAAAAGGAGGGTCATGACCCGTAGGTTTCTCAAAGTGTATGGTCCATTGTATCTTAGAGTTAACCAGATAACAGAGCGGATATATACTACGTGACCAACTGGTGCGAAACAATGACTGCGTGAGCTGATTCAAATCCCGCCGTCTGTTCTCGAACTCTACTAATAACTCTCATTTCCAGAGGAACAACCCATTACGATGCGGCCTTCATGTCATGGGTTCTGCTCTCCCTCGCGTTTGACTTTCCCGCAACACCTGGAACAAGCATTGATCCCAAGCCTATCCTGGATAATCCCCCCGACAACGTCTGGTGGACCTTGAATGGCGGCATGGATACTATCGCCAAACGATTGGTCAACAAGCTTACAAAAAAGCCACTATACAAGCATCGAGTGACAGGAATATCCCATGCTAAGACTGGAGCTGAAGAATCAATGCTTGTGACAATTTCCCAGCTTCAGGATCCGGGCATGGCACCGAAAGTCATTACGAAGGAATACACGCATGTAATATCTACCACCACGACCCCTTGTCTTTACAGCATGGACCTCCGCAACGCTGGCCTGAATTATGCGCAGCGCGAAGCAATTCGGGTCCTCCAGTATGATAACGCTGTCAAAGTTGGGATCAAATTCAGCAAGCGCTGGTGGGCAGAGGAGAGGGGCATTAATCGAGGGGGCAACGGAAACACTGACCGCCCAACCCGAGGAGTTACCTATCCTTCATACGCACTCGACACTCCCGCCGGGGAGTCTGGCGTCCTTTTCGCTTGCTACAACTATGGCCAGGATGCCGCCCGGCTTGGAGGTTTATCTCGGGACTCGGGGAAAGAATATAACGAGGCTATCTTCGACGCTGTCATAGCCGATCTAGCCATTCTGCATCGGTATCCCGAAGAGGACTTACGTAAACTGGTCGTCGACTACCACGTCCATAACTGGAACATGGACGAGCTCACAAAAGGGCATTTTGCCCTGTTTGGTCCGGGCCAGTTTTCCTCATTCTTCGCACAACTCCAGCGGCCGGCTGCGGGTGGCCATCTCTTCTTCGCTGGCGAGATAACGAGCATCCATCATGGCTGGATCGTCGCCGCACTAAATAGCGCATACAGAGCGATACATCAGATGCTGTTGACCGAAGTTGCCCTGGCGGGGAAGAATAGTGTGAAGAAGAAATATATTCAGTCTTTGATCTCTCACCTTACAACAAATTGGGGGTCAAGCGAGTATGAGCTCGAACCCGAGTATGATCCGAACCCGCAAGGGACAGCAGGGTGGCAAGTGTTTTTGGGAATCCATGGGAAAGATGTCACGGTGTAGGTGTGATTTGACAGATTAGTTTTGTATGCAAGTGATAGGTGCTTCACTGTTTGCTTTGATGTATTTCGCTCTGGAAGAATGGATACAAGTAACGAAGGTGGGTAGTTATAGTGCCCAGTATTGAAATATTCTTACGTACCAAGCTACATGTGTATATGCGATAACCCCACCTTCACGCGGGACTCTTATTCAAGGGTGCGGGTATGCATAGATCACCGCAGCCCATTCCTTAATTTTCTCGGGGTTTTGGGACAGCGACATTAGCCCATATGCCCATTTCATCCTATTGACTTGAGAGAAACTCATTGCTTGCAAAAAGTCGTCCTTTTAATTATGTGTTTTTTCTTTGTTACATTAACGAATACCTCAGTCAGAGAAGGACAATAGTGTCTGCGCATTTTGAGCCCGTGGAGAATCGAAGCTCATTAAAAAATCAAAAAAATCAAAAAAACAAACATAACGGGGTTATCGGGCTGCTGTAGAAAAAGGGCGAGTCACGATAGGTAATAGATGGAAAGACTTCAGGAAGGAAGAAAAAAGCGGCACGAGGTTAGGAGAGAGATGTGATAGTAGTCAGACACTTGGAGAGAGGGTAGGACACATTGAGTGAAGTACGGAAGGGAGTAAGAGAAAAGAGAGTTGGAAAGTACTTTTACACTAGTGGCATAGGGATTTCATTTGGATTTTGGTTGTTTTTGATCTATATCAAGTACATGCAGAGTATAGTAGGAGGCAGAGGTTGATATGGTCAAGACTAGTCCAGAAATGGCATCGGACTGAACCAGACCAGTTCGAAAAATCATAGACCGGACCGGACTGGACCAAATCACGATGGACCGGTCTAGGCCGCATAACTGTATTTTATTCCAAATATTAATACAAAAACCATTTATTGATGGGTTCAAGCCCTAGTCTCGTCCAAGCTTTCTCAGGTTCAGTTGATTCCCTCCAAACCCAATTGATATTGCAGGTGAAAAAGCGTTTTCTGAATGGACCAGATATTACTAGATGGACCGGTCTATTTTCTGGTATGGACTGGACCGACCATTTAGAGAAAATTGTCGTGCCAGACCGTTTCAACCATTGAGCGGACCGGTCTAGACTGTATTGAGGGCGGACAGTTTCTGTAGAAATAGGGCATTGCGACATCGGTTATGTATGTAATTACTCATGTATAAGGGATGACTCATAGAAGGAACAAGGGATTCAGACAAGGTTTAGTGTCAGGGATTATGTAATTGGGAGATCACGTGGTACTAGAATATCTGTATATATAGAGCGTTTAAACGCCCACATTGTCGCTGGAACTTCAGCGGCGCAATAGTATCTTCTTCGCACTACTAAACACATCCTCCCTTAAGGTCACATGTTCAAATCACATTCAAGTCATTTTCTCCCACACTCCAAACTTCAGGTTATGAGCCCGGGTTGTGCCAAATAAAATCTGCACAATACTCGCCACAATGGTTAACTCAATTACTCTTAATACAACATCATGTCTGACATTGAAGAATCATACAAGCATGTGGAGAATAAATCCTCAGACAACACGAGCTCCAGTAAGATTCACATCAAGTTTGATGGACTCCCAAAATCAAAGGGACAATCCAACTACCAAACTTGCACGTCTGCCTGGAGGATTACATTCGATGCAGCAGACTGCTGGGAAGCACTGAGCATCGAAAACCTCACAGAAGATGAAACAGACCTCACCATGGCCGAAATCAAAAAGACCCAAAAACAAATGCACATCTTTCTCATCGGAGCTGTAGTCGAAGACATGCAACCAACACTCGTCTCCGCCAAAAATGGCTATCACGCATGGAAGGCGCTCAAAGACCTCTACGATCGTGTATCACCAACCACGAGGATCACCCTCCTCAGCCGTGTTCTAGACATGAAGATACAAGACAACGGTAACATAACCGAGTATCTCGAAACCTTCAATACGAACTGGAACACTCTCAAAACCAGGTGTCAGAGCAGTGACCACAAACTCGCTCAGGCCCTGCTACCCCTCACCAAATCCAACGAAGCAATGGCAGCATTCCTACTAGCCTCTCTCCCGAAGTCAATAAGCAACGTCGTCGGTAACATCCAGACCAAACAGGATGGTACTTACGAAGATGTACGCCAACGGCTGCAAAACCTACAAGAGGAAACTCCTCTCACGGGCAACAACAGGGTACTTCATATCAGAAAAACCCTCACACCAAATTGCAAGGAATGTACCTGGTGCAAGAAACGGAATCAAACGTACCAGGGCCACGAGTACAGGGAGTGCAGAAAGCTCAAAAAACACAACAAGACAAGGAAACAAACAGAGAGATATAGGGCAGTGATAATTCAGCATCGATAATTATCAACAAATCATCCACAACAGTATAAATTGTACAAACCGACACCTCATCTTCCCTATCCCTTATTTTGATCCTTGATTCTGGAGCTACTTCTCAAATAATAACTTTCAAAGACCAGCTCTTCAATATCTGTGCTCACAACAGCACAATTCGAACAGCCAATGGCATCACCCACACTGTCACCGGATTGGGAAGTGCTAGTTTCGAATGCGACCTTCCCAATGGAGATAGATCCTCCATTGTCTTCACCGATGTGCTGCTGGTCCCAAACATGGGAAATTTGGGATTGGTATCAGAAACCATACTTGACGAAAATGGGTTTGGAACAGAGTCAGGAGGAGGAAACAAATTAGTAACGAAAGAAAGGAAAGGAACAATTTGGGCGAAATTGGATAAGGTACTTTGTAATTTACAAGTAGTTAGCAATACAGTTAGTTTGACCACTTACTCTGAATGACATCAAGCACTAGGCCACCCTGCGAAACTAGAAAACTTGTACGAAGACATCTATCAGCTACCCCCCAAACCAGAAATCTTCTATTACAGTCAATGCAGATCATCAAAAAGTGTACACAAGAAACCTACACCAATCAGCACCAATCCTAGTGAGCACTCGAACTAATCAACTTAGATTTATCTGGAAAATTCGGTACACAATCGCAAGGAAAAGCCCTGTACTACATGTCGTTGATCGATGACTCCACTTGTTTCGCCTGGATATATCTGCTAAAACAGAAAGCCAATGCGATAAACACCAACAATAACTACGTAACGAACATCAAGAAACCGTACAATACAACAATACTGAGATTTAGAACTGATGGTGGTGGTGAATATGTCAACAAAGACACAATAGATTACTTCAACCTACAAGGAATTGTCCGCAAACAACCTCCACCATACACTCTTGAATCAAATAGAGTTGCAGAACGATTCAACGGTACGATAAACACAATGGTCAGGTGCATGATCATGGATCATTCTGAGTCGTCATAGGGTGAAACATACTCAACAGCTATCTACCTTAAATACAGGCTACCTTATAGTACACTAAAGCGAAAGACTCTATTCAAAGCCCTAAAAGATTCAAAGTCTAGGATCCAACACCTTCAACCATTCGGAAAGAAAGGCTATGTCCACATCCCAGAAAACTCTAGGCCAACAGGAAGCCAACTAGCACCCCGAATACACGAAGAAATCATTGTCGGATACTCTCACGGTACCAAACAATACCGCACCTGTATAGGATCACAAAATAGGTTCATTGTAAGTTGAGATGTCACATTCCTCTCTCCTAAATCAGGAGAAGTCTGCGTGGAACTTGACTACACCTCTATCCTGAAACCAGAAGCGGCTCCTGCACCAACAGAGAACGGATATGAATCAGAAGTTAGGGCTGATCAAAAACCCGAATCGTCAGCTTTCGAAGAAAATCTTGAAACAGATGCAAGTAGACTGAAGACGGGCTTACGAGGCTCACTCCTGGATTTCACTTCGAAGAAAGTAAAAAACAGGAATCTAATCAGGAAAACACAGAAACACCTCTCTTAGAACCATCAAGCAAAGCAAAATCTTAGATACCAACCACCGAAGAAGAGAAAGAATCTGCAGTCCCGCATCCTGTTACAACAAGAAGATCGAGTTGCACCCGTGAAAGAATGGAGAAACAAGTAGCACCCAACATCGAAGGGAAAAGGAAGGAAATCCGACAGAAAATATCGGAAATAGGAACCACCTACAACAAGAAAGTATCAGAAATACCAACCGATGAAGAAATGGACGAACAAACCAAGCAGCTAACAATGGAAGCAGCTAGTCTACACCACAAAAAGGACAAAGATAAACTTCAAAGCCAGTACGATGACTTGGACCCCACCATACATCGGGTACATCTAGTACCTGAACCCACCACCTTCAATCAAGCACTGAAAAGTGATGATCAACACCTATCGAAGAAGGCAATACAGACGGAAAAAGACGCCCTTGACAAAGCCCACACTTGGGACACTGTCGACAGACCAACCAACCGAGCAGTAGTCAGATGAAAATGGGTATTCAAGGTAAAACACAATGCTGACAGAATTCTCGAAAGATACCAAGCTAAGTATATCGCCAAGGTCTTCACCTAAGTACAGTATCAAGAATACGATGAGACCTTCGTCCCTGTTGCCCAATACGATTCCCTATGACTCCTACTAACACTAGCTGCACACAACGGTTGACAACCACAACAAATGAACGTCAAGTCAGCCTTCCTATACGGTATACTTAAGGAGGAAATCTACATGGAACTACCTGAAGCCTGCAGGCAGGACAACAAGATTTGTAAACTTCACAAATGCATATATAGACTAAAACAATCACCCTGTGAATGGTATGCTTGCCTCAAGCCAACAAACTCCCTTCAACGGAAAGGATTTGTCCCAGCCAAATTCGACCCATGTATCTTCAGACATAAGAAACACCAGCTATACATATCGGTGTATGTTGACGACATCATAATATTCAGATCTAACTCCCCATTCAGAAACGAAATCAGACAACTACTCAAGGCAGATTTCGAATGTACGGATTTCGGTAATTCGAAATTCCTACTGGCGATAGAAATAACAGTAACAAAAGCTGGTATCAAGTTGTCAC